ATCGACGACTTTGGATCTGTCATAGGCTTCTTGCACCAAACTACCTAGCTAGGTAGAATCGGCAAAATACCTACCTAGTAAAACTACCTACGACGGTAACTTCTCTTGCACCATCCTACCTACCTACCTAGGTAAATTTGACAGCTCGCGTTTTTAGGATTTGTTTTGATTGGCTGTTCGGCGACGAATTATTCGTGGGCGCAAGCAAATAGTAAGTAAATAAAAATGGCAAATGGATAGTTTTTTATAAATATATGTATTTTGGTATTATGAAATCATTTCTCGTTTATGTAAATACCGATGAAAGTTGCCTAGATATCTAATTAGTTGAACAAATAAGCTTCGTTTCCATGGCAACGAGTGAGTCTTCAACCTGGCTGTTTTGTTACGGAGGTTTATCGCCTTGATACGGAGAAGCACCTCAGTGTGCCAATGGAACATGTGGTCAATTATATTATTATTCACTCATGAAGCATTGATTTATCATTGTCTAAACATTTTGTAATGCCTAATTTACATAAAAGTACCTACCCGTGGATTATCACGTATTGAGCCTATTGTTACTAATTGAATCATTTATACCTAAGGTTTTGCAAGTTATTTTGGAAGCCCGAGTTTACCGTCAAATCGTCAAAATTCCTTCGCGAGTACTTCTTTCCGGCTTTCGGTGCAAGAGGAAAACAGCCGGTCGGACTTTAACAACTGGTAAGTTCCGATGCCGCTCGGTAGAATCTTTAGGCAAATTTTCACGGTAGCGTTTTTGGTGGGTAGTTTGGTGCAAGAGAATTTAGGTAAAATCGGAATTTACCTAGTTAGTTTGGTGCAAGAGGCCTCTGGATAGTGGTGGTGGTTGGCCTGGGCTGGGGAATGGGGAGTGCGTTCAAAGTTCAGAGGCCTCTTGCACCAAACTACCTAGCTAGGTAGAATCGGCAAAATACCTACCTAGTAAAACTACCTACGACGGTAACTTCTCTTGCACCATCCTACCTAGCTACCTAGGTAAACTTGACAGCTCGCGTTTTTAGGATTTGTTTTGATTGGCTGTTCGGCGACGAATTATTCGTGGGCGCAAACAAATAGTAAGCAAAGAAAACTAATAAATGGATATTGTTTTTATAAATATATATTTTGGTATTATGAAATCATTTTTCATTTATGTAAATACCGATGAAAGTTGCCTTGATATCAAATTATTTGAACAAATAGGCTTCGTTTCCATGGCAACGAGTGAGTCTTTAATGAGGCTGTTTTGTTACGGAGGTTTATCGCCTTGATACGGAGAAGCACCTCAGTGTACCCATGGAGCATGTGGTCAATTATATTATTATTCACTCAAAAAGGATTGATTTATCATTGTCTAAACATTTTATAATGCCTAATTTACATAAAAGTACCCGCGGATTATAATGTATTGTGCCTAATATTACTAATTCAATCATTTTACCTAAGGTTTTGCTAGTTATTTTGGAAGCCCAAGTTTACCGTCAAATCGTCAAAAATTCCTCCGCGAGTACTTCTTTCCGGCTTTCGGTGCAAGAGGAAAACAGCCGGTCGGACTTTAACAACTGGTAAGTTCCGATGCCGTTCGGTATAATTTCTAGGTAAATTTTCACGGTAGCGTTTTTTGGTAGGTAGTTTGGTGCAAGAGAATTTAGGTAAAATCGGAATTTACCTAGGTAGGTAGTTTGGTGCAAGAGGCCTCAGGTAGTTTATCACTTATTTAAAATGAATATCAATCAAATCACTGGCTATTTAAAGCCAGGTCAGTTGATGGTTTACACAACAGCTCGACAAGATGTTGTACTTACAACAGTTTTTTTTTTTTATTTTCGGAATGGATGGGAGGGACTGCATGTTATCGAGCGCAAGAATGTGGTATGTTATTACCTAAATGCGACCGAGATCAGAGAGACCTTACATCTCCGAAACATATCAATCCGATTTAGAAACATCAAACGGTCTTACAAGTTGACCTCTGTTCATCGGTCTATGGATGTGCAGTAGGGTGGGTCGATAATCTAGAATCGATGGGAGACAGCAATATTTTATGGCGCTGATTCATTATATGATGAGCGATAACAAAATATTTGCCCTAAATCCAATAATTGGTACGCTAGATAAGATTTTCTGTAATCATGAATGCCACCCAAGGCGATAGTGGCGCCACCTATCCAGACAGGCCAGATCAGGGTTAGATTTTAAAAACCAATACAAGAGGGAAGTCAAATCACGTAACAAATGCAGACATCAAACATGCAAGTATTTCAGCTTGCCCGTCGAGCGGCGGCGCTATTGCAGCCGCCCCCTCCGTCTCGCTCTTCCCAGCCGTCGAACCAGATATTCGACACCGCGCCTGGGTTCGACCAGCCAGCGCCCGATGGACGGGCCCCGCCACTGGTGCTCCCCCCGCCTATGTTTAACCAACAGTGACGGGACTTCCTGGTAGCCCAACAACTCATCAACGACAACTACCAGACCAGGAACCGGCAGGAGAGTCGGGCACTTCTGCCAGCTACAGTTCAGGTTCCCGCCGACATCCAAGACTTTCAGTTTCTCCCAGACAGGCTGAAGATATTTGTCACCGTCGGCCGCGGCGGCTGGCCGGCCGCCCTTACGGCTCTCCCGGATCTAGAGCTGCAGCAGCTGGGAGTCCAGCTGCTGCCGCCCGTCCCTGTGCTGCACCTGCCGCCTGTTCCGGCCCCTTCGGTACAGTATGCCGGGAGTGTGGCCCCCGGCCCTGCTGCCAGTCGCTGCCGCCGTCGTAAGAGGCAGGCAGCGGCCGCCGCCCCGGCGGTACGCATTAACACTTACCAGCATCATGGCGGCCTGGCACGCGACGGTGCGGGGTATAGCTACGGTCCCTCCGATCCTCCCCCGCCCCGACGGAGCTCGCGTGCCGGACCCCGCAGGGGCCCTCCCGGCTTGGCAGCCGGAAGCAGGGCCCCTCCTCCAGAGGCTCGTCCCTCGTCAACCACAGCTTGCGGATTCTCCGCTTCAGCTCCAAGAGCGACCGCACCTGGCTGACGTCCCAGCAGATGAGGCACCACCTGCACCTATGAACGAGCCTCTGAGCCCCAGCGATGATTCGCTCTCGCTAGCAGGTTCTCTCATTAGTGCCGAGTCGCAGCAGACCGTCGATGAGATTGAGTCGCTGCCTGACCTGCACCAGCTGCTGACTCCCTCGCCACGGCCGCTGCCTCTGTCGCCCTCCTGCCTGCCCGAACTGCCCGACTTGGGCACTCTATTAGGTACCCGTCGGTACCCGCCGTCATCACTTGCGTCGTGAAAACGGCTACAATGACCAATATGACCAAAAGTATACCATTTGACGCACTTAAGCAAGATAAACGGTGTTTATCTTGCTCAATATCAAGATAAATGGTGCCACTAACTCGCGGCTGTGCGACCATTTTTGGCGAAGGTATTCACCAAAAATAAGCCCGTGTCTTGGCCCGCTTGGGGCACTTCTCTTGACCTTAGAGGTCACCGGTTGACCTGAGACCTTAACCCTATTCCTGGCGGGCTCCGCCGGGACAAGAAACTGGCGGGGGGGGCCGATTCGGCCCCCCCCTGAGATCTCGAGAACGAAGCAAGATAGCGACAAGCGGTAAACGGCATCGGATACGCACGGCCAAGATCTACAATTTTTACTGAGGTCATTTTCAGGTCAGGTCAAAGATGACGTCACAGGGGTCGAAAAAGTCAAAATGGCGGCGCTAGATATGGAGAGAGTTTTTCTCGAATAACTTTCGAATTAGTCAAGATAGGAACAAACTAAGGGCATCATCGTGATCCTCTCGTCAATCCGCATCGAATGATATATATGTTGACCTCGAAAGGTCAAGGTCAAAGGTTGACCTCAGGTCACGTGACCTCGAGATCACCATGTATATCATTCGATGCGTCTTGACGAGCTGAACACAATGAGACCATCCACGCGTCTATATCTTGTTCCTGTACGGAGTTATTGGCCAAAAACCTTTGGTGACCTTTGATGACGTCACATGACCTCACAGCTGCCCAACAGCAAAACAGACCTCAAGGTAGTGAAGGTTGATCGTATATGAAGTCATGTATGGTATATGGGGCCATTCCGAACCGTTTTAGTGGTAAAAACAGGGAGTTGATTTTTCCCCCATTGACTTATAATGGGGAGGTCGCGAAATTGACCTGACCTTAGGTCACCGATATCAAAATTCCGAGATATACAAATTGCACATACTGGTACCCTAACTAAACCCTGAAGAGAAGAAATTGATCGGTCAAAAACTCTAGCTCTGGCATGATTGCAAACTTTTCTGAGGTAGGGTCACCAAACCGCCTCTGGTGACCTGACCTGAGGTCAGATCAACTCAAAATTTTCAGACATGTTGCGTAGAAGCCTTTTAGGAAAAGTCAGAAAATTTGAGCTTCCTAGCTCAACGCGTTTGGGAGAAATAACCAAAAAACCTCAGGGGGGGGGGCTCCTGAGGCCCCCCCCCCCGCCAGGAATAGGGTTAAAATCTGGTAGCAATCGCTGCGTCTCGTAACGGCGCATACGCGTGTTCTTTTGTTGGTTAATTTTTTCACGAGGCTTAGCTCCACCAGGGGCGAAACAGCGAAGGGGGTCGTAACAAGCCCTCCCCCCCCCCCGACCAATAGGTTGAGAAGGTAGCAAGTTGTTTCCGCAGAAGACCAATAGGTCTGGCGAGAGTTAACCCATGCACGGCGTGCACGGCGGGGGAAGTATAAACATCCAATCGATGCGGCATTCTCTCTCCATCTCCCCCTCCCCATGCAGAGGTAGCACATCGGACAATGAGCCTGCAATGCTGGGTTTGGCCAGAATACTGATCCAACGGTCGAGTTTTGCCACATTGCAATCGGGACACCTGTAACAACTGTCAGAGCGGAATTCTGTTCTGTGCACAAATACGTACCGACGTAGGGAGAAATGCCAACCCGCTCCACCGAGTATAAAAGAGGACAGGGCCTAGGTTGGACCACACACTGCTTGCACTGCTACTGGCTGTTCAGATCTGTCTCGTTTGAAGGCTATTCTCTGACAGTTCATCGTCCATCGCTTTGCCAGGATGAAGCTCTTGCCAACAGTGCTAGTAGTTTTGTCAATTTTGGCTGTAACGTTCATGGCAGACAGTAAGCAAAGCGGGCAGGGTTCAGAGAGTGGTCAAAGTAACAGTAGCAGTGCAGAGAGTGCGGAGAGTGGCGTGGAGAGCGGCGACAGCAGCGGCAGCGAGAGCGAAGAGGTATGATTTCGATCCACGGCAAAGTCTTGTGCTATATGCTGCTAACTAATGCTAACTAATGTAAATAGATCATTCGCATAAAACTACGTTTACTTGCATTCATAAGCATCAGAAGGTAGTGCACTGGACAGATAAAAAGTCAAAAAAACTCCAACTAGCTAGTTCAAATGTTGATCCATACCTATCAGATTATTAACTACTGTTAGTAAAGCGGCCGAAACAATGGCTTTGGAACAGCTTCCTGTCAGTTGCCATTTGCCGCTAGTCAGTCGTAACATTGACAAAGTGTGTGTATATGTTCCAGATAAATCCCAATTCATGTACCAGGGAGGACCAAGGTACCTGCGCAGGTAAGTGAATTATCGCTCTATAGTATCAAATCATTTTAACGTTATTCCATTCCGTCCTACCAATTAAACTCAGATTAACCCTAGCAAATCCCTCCAGACTACCATCAGCTTAGCCCCTTCTTAACCCGCGCCCTGCTGGGGGGGTGTTTAAACACCCCCCTTGTGGTTTTTCGCGAATATCTCAAAAACGGCGGCGCGGAGCGCCGCCGTTTTTGGTACACCTTATCATACATCAATTCTACACATGTTGTAAAAATTTCAGACCAAGGTCGTTTAAGGTCAGGTCACCAGGTCACTTGAAGTGACCTTACCTCATAAAAAGTTTCAATGTCTGTCATAGCTACACCGAGTGACCGATCGCTTTGAAACTTTCAGCGATTGCTAAGAGCAATAGCATGTACAAAATGTATATCTCAGAATTTTGATATCGATGACCTAAGGTCAGGTCAATTTTGCGACCTCCCCATTATAAGTCAGTGGGAGAAAATTGAAATGCGCCTCTTTTGGACGAAAGACATTATAAACACTCCCAAACACCGAATTACAAGTGGTTTAGACACACTGAACATGAAAATGGTGTCCGTGACCCTTGTTTGTGCCCTGAGGTCATCTTAGGTCACCAATGGTATCTAACAGTTTTTCGCAAATAACTTTTGATAGAGGCATGCTAGAGCGATGAAAACGCCTTATATGTGTTCAGCTCGACGATACGGATCGACTGATGTGCAACATGACGTTTCCGGTCAGGTCATGACCTTGACCTGAGGTCAACTTTTCAAGTTGACCTTTCAAGGTCAAGTTATAGTTCATTCGATGCGTCTTGACGAGAGGAAGACGATGCCGGTGAAAGTAAGCTCGTACAAGGCTTGGGTCAAACGTTATTGCAGAAAAACTGTTTCCGAAAAATCGGCTATTTTTGCAGTTTTTGCCCCCTGTAGCAGGGCGTATTTTAAGGGATTTTCACTGGGTCGGCAATCACATTTAGGGGCGGCATTTTGCACTCATAGGGGCGGCACTTGGCATCTGAGGGGGGCGCCATACCTACTGATATTTAATGACAAAAAAGACACGTTCGACGGTTCTTTTATAACTCTTTCTAAGTAATGATTTCAGGTTCAACCTACCTAAGCTCAGCGGTATTACGTCTATTTTTCCGGGATATAACTAGTATTTCTCGTGTCATAATGCGACAAATGAACTATAATTTGACTTTACGAAAATTAATTTAAAAATTTTACCTGAGGTCAAGTTCATGACCTCACCATAAATAAAACATGTTGCATACCAGTCGATCCGTATCGTCAAGCTTAAAACATTCACGGTGTTTTATGGCTCTAAAACAGTGGTCGGCAGGTCGCACGAGTGGTGCCCACTTTATGGGCGCTGGACGGGGCCATTACCCCCACTTGTCATACCCCATTGCAAGCCCCATTGCTTACACAGCAAGGGTCGCTGATATTCGGCCATATCCTTTGACGCCTCTATTTTTCTGCATCTAAATAAAATGCATTACAATTAACTCTCTTTTTATGGAGAGGGAGAGCGGGTGGAGTAAGGATGAAGTCATACATTTTTTATTCATTAGTTACTCGCGTAATGAACAGCGTATTGATTTGTAACGATACGTTCATCCCCCCCCCCCCCAAGTTAATGAATGGTATACATTACCTACCTACTCAAATATTTTCGTGACCCCAGTGACATTTTCATTGAGTTTTTGAAATTTGAATGATCTTCACTCGGTAACTTTCTCTCCGGATCGGCCGGCGGACAAAACGCAAGCGAAGACAATGCGGGGAGTCCGGTGCTCTACCAACTGAGCTACGGAACAGGCAAATGCTCACCATAGATACACCGACTGAACGATCCCTTTATAACTTCAGCGATTGATAAGACAAACAGTGTGTAACTGTATATATAAAATGTAAGTCTCGAAATTGCTATGTCTTTGACCAAAGGTAAGGACAATTTTGCGACCCTTCCATTAGGTATAAGGAAATGGGAGAAAATCAGGGCATGCATGCCTCTTTTTGTAGGTAGACAAATGTCAAAGTTAACGAATTTAAACATCATAAAACAATTAAAAATGAAACACTTAATCGGAAAATTGCCACCCACGACCCCTCGTTATGTCCTTGAGGTCATGTCAGGTCATGGAAGGCCTCCATCAGTTTTTTCAATAACTTCTGATAGAGACATGCGACATGCCTGAGCGATGAAAACACCTTAGATGATTTCAGTTTGACGATACAAATCGACTGATATGCAACGTGACCTTTACCAGTCAGGTCATGACCTGGACCTGAGCTCAAATTTCCCAAATGACATTTGAATGTCAAATTATAGTTCATTCGATGCATCTCGACGAGAGGAGCACAGTACTGAAAAAACGATGTCATAACTTTCGTGAGTCAATAATTATTACAGTAAAAGGTTCTTCATTAAAACAGCTCAGTAGAGGGGCGGAGGGGGTCCACTGTCCACTCCAACCCTCCCCGGCCCGGCACGGGTTAAACTAGTTGTGCTCTGGAGGTTAAGCCGTTGATGTTAGGTCAAGTCTGAGGACTTTATAGGAACGTTGAAGAGCAATCGAATGCGCTTTTTTCGCGGTGCTGTAGTTCTATTCTTCCCCGAGTTATGCGCCAGTTTGTCAATAAATGTTGAAACAGACAACATTTCACCCACATTTCACCTTTGATGACCTCTGGTCACCTGATATTTGACATTTGACTTGACCTAACCAAAGTACGGTTAACCAACTAACCCAAGTAGTTTTTGACACTCTTTCGAATGCCGCTTACCGCGTGTCGCTACGTGGCCCAGTAGCCAAGTTATAGGGGTCGGGAGGGGGGTTCAAACCTCAGCCCGGCGCCGGTTAAGGGAAGGCACTATCATTTTGGAGGCGCTGCAGATATGCTAAGGGACGACAGCATCATTTTGAGGCGCGCCACCAACTTTTTTAGGGCACTTAAACCACTTTGAGGGGCACCACCGACACTGTGAGAAGCGCAGTTATCTCTTTGAGCGTTGGGGGTGGCACCATTACATTGGAGGGCGCCATGTGCGCAGTGATGTGGGGCAAAATGACAATGAGGAGCGCCTCCGATACTTAGAAGAGACGCCAACATTACTCGGGGGGGGGGGGGGCAACATCACTTTTATTTTGAGGACGCCACCCCCACTGGCGGTCGCAGCCGTTAGCTAAAGGGAGGGGGGGGCAAAGTCAAACCCGCGGAACATAACATTTATCCGTCGACCGGGGGGGGGGGTGATCGGCTAAGTTTTTACGTGTGTAGCAAAGTCGACGCCACAAAGTGTTGGCATTTCTTAGGCTACATCCATCTCATTCTTGCGTACAATTTTTGAACTCAGTTTAAGCGAAATAACCACTTCCATTTACCGTCCCAAGGTGTGCTCACCGGTCGGGCCGCCGCACCGTGGTGACAGATCGGAGCAGCATATAAAGCCAAGAGAGCATTTTTAGACTATGGCATTTACCCATGACATATGTAGTTGTGTGGCTGCGGGAGAGAGTAGGTACACCGACCTCTAGAGACCCCCCACAGGTTCCTGGCTTTCAAATTTGGCATTGGGGGCCGCGCGCAGACTCCTGCGGGGCTTTGCAACGACTCTATTGGGGCTCACTCAACCTGCCTAATCCTCAACTGCCAAAAAGACTGTCCCTGGGCCCTGGAGACTTCATCGGTCTCTGTCAGCCAAGGACCCACACCGGCTCATGGGACCCCGGCGCCGAAATATGAGGGAATCTGCTCGGAACCATCGGGACACGTTAGGCTCTGCAGGAGTTTGCGTGCGTTCTCAGAACTTCAGAAGTCCATCCCTGTATGTTTTCAATTAGAGACCAGTTTAGGGCCCTCAGAGACTAGTACAGGGCCTGCAAAGGCCATGACAGAAAGGCCGACATGGGGCCCTCAGAGGTCAGCGTAAGGTCCTAAAAGACCGGCATGGGCCGGCGTTGGACCCAGAGGCCAGCAAAGGGCCCTCAAAGGCCAAGATGGGCCATCAGAGGCCGGTACGGGCCCTTAGAGGCCGGCATCGGGTCTTCAACAGCCAGTGCGGGCCCTCATAGGCGCCTAAGGTTAGTTTTGGGACCCCACAGACAGAAATAAGGCTACCAGAGACCGGTTGAGGCCCTCAGACGCCGGTTTAGGGGCCCTCAAAGGCCAGTGGAGGGCCATCAGAGGTCGATCTGGGCTCTTAGCGGTCAGTGTGGGCGCTTGACCGCCACTGAAGCTCCCTCAGAGTTCAGTGTAGGACGCTCAAAGACCGGTGTGGGAGCTATTAGGTAACAGCTGGGCGTGGGTTTCTTGAGCCTCGTCACAATCGGATAACGGCCAGGGCCCCATACGCTCATGGGGGCCCAACGGCTGTTTGGGAGGGGGGCAAAATGATATGATGCCCCATTATTTGCCCTTGGGGGATGGCCCTGATGCCCCCCCCCCCTCCGACCGCCACTGTGTACTGTGTATACAGGCCTCTGAGATCACATACTAGTTCATGCAATCTCTAATACGCAGGCCTCGGAGATCCCACGCTAATCCTTAAGGAACCAAGCCGGCATACACCGGGCTTCTGAGTTGCACAGCACCAACCCATGAGGTCATACTTTAGTGTCGTAGAACCACGCTCATTTGGCAGGAGGATCTCATGCCAGCCAATGCTGTGCCTATGAGAGCCTCAAGTAAACCCAACCCGATATTCCACATAAGTTAGAATACCTATATCTCACATCCGGCCATACCTGTGAACCGGTGCCAGCGACACTGACCACCAAATTGACAGAATGTGAAACTGAGCCCACTCATGAGTGAAATTTACTTCCTTTGCTGGTGCAAGAAAGACCTTTCACTAAACAAGAAAATGAAACATACAAAAAGTTTTGTAGGACTTTTGTTCGATCTGAAAAGGTGGGGCCAAAAGATAGTATGGCCCCACCTTTCAGCACCAAAGGGGGGCCATGGCCCCGTGGCCCCCCCTGG